TTGAACGAAAATGAGGCGTATAAAAGGATTTTTTTAGCTTTGCTGATTTTCTAACTAAATAAAGCATTTGAAAACTGCTTTCAGATTGTTAAGATGGAAGGAAAAATAATTATTAAGGACGACGATATCATTTTCCAGGTCTTCTGAAAGTGAACAGAACATAAAAAAGAATGCCAGATTGTACTAAGAACATTAACGATCCCTGGAACAAATGCTGAAGAATGATTGAGTAGAACCAGAATGACGTTCACCCTTCACCTAAGCTGGAATGCAGATAATATAAAGCTAAAAAGGTGTTCTTTTTTCTTTGGTTCACAAGAGAAATCAAAATCAATCATGCATACAGATGGATGTTTCTTACCTTAAATGTATGTCGTAAAGGATTGCGTTCCTTTGTTTCTGATGCAAGTGACACTCGGCCATCGCCATTTCCATCAGAGGCTGGTAGTACATCGAAAACAATTATATCCAAGGGTTTGGCATCAAAAGGATCAGCAAGCAGGGCCAAGAATCCAGGCTTTAGGACAGCCCACACCTGCAGAGAAAGATATGAGACCACTTATTGCACACAACCATCGTAATTCCTCACACTGAAGATTCTTAGTCACAGGATAGTGAGTGCCCCTCTGCATGATTAACGGTTTCACAATTAATATATAGGTGATCTATCATTTGTAGTAATCTGTAATCTGCTTACAATAGGGATGAACTTCTCTCTGGACTGAATAATGCAAAACTAGTCATAAAATTGAGCAGTCAGAACTTAATCATACTACGTTTTGTCATGAACATGAATCTAATAGAGAACACATAAAAACAACTCCTTCTTGCATACAAGCAGGAACACACTTTAATTTAACCAAAGTATAGAAACAAGTTAGGTTTACCTTCTGCCAGTTATCATTGCAGCAGCTAAACCAGCTGCAGGAACAACATTTCCTGTTGTCCTCATTTGTTGGGATTTTTGGCAGATGCTTCACCATAATATAATCTTCTTTAAGCTTAGGTCCATATTCAGGGCAAAATGATAGCTTAGAAACCTCCAAAAACTTACAAACCTGCAGTATAAGTTCCCAAAGGCAAAGTATTGATATCTGATGGAGATGTAAAATCTTATCAATCAGAGTACTCTTTCTGAGAAACAAATGCATCCCAAGAGAGCAGTATGATTGTACCCAATGAGTACCCCTAGAAGCAAAGAAAGAGCAGACGAAACTGAAGCAATAATTTCAATCCAATGAGTCATGCAACTAATAAAACAAATGATGGAATTTCAAACTAATGAGTCATGCCCATATAATTTGGTATGGACAACAGCACAATCTCAATTCTGCATATTACAAGTTGACGAAGCATGGACAGCACAGGAATGACCCTGACACTGAGGAATTGACATTATCATCACGTTGTACAACTATACCTATAAAAGAGAGCGTTCCAGAATAACTTGACAGTCGCCACATGGAATAGTTTTGACAACGAGAGTACAGACATGACAAGGCCTTGAGATGAAATATTGACTTGCTGATATAAGCATAAATGCAATGCACTAAGAACACAATACATGATGTAGCCACACCACCTTACAGCTAAGATGTTCAACAACCATGTATCACTAATATGCATCTGTGCGGTGATTCAGCTCAAAATGAAACTTCTAATCCTATGAAGTAAGTGGCACTTATCAATCCATAAAGATTACAAAAGCTTACCTCTCGAGAGTTGGCAATATCCATATTCCCCAGAAAATGGTTGAGATACTGTTGCATTGATACCTTTGCTCTATCCGACATGGACTGCTGCCTTCCCAAGGACGGTGGACGAAACACATTCAATGCAGCACTCGACGGAACATCTCTGAACAGAAAACCCACCTATAAGAACTATAAGAACCACCAAACAGCGAGTAATCCAGAGAGCGATGCAGAAAGAGCCATCATGCACGACGCCTTCCAGTGGACGGCATCCAAAAAAAAAGAAGGCAGCAGTTCTTTTTACCTGTTCTTAGAACTTTCATCCTGATGCTGTACCGGGATTGCCTCATCATCATCATCGCCATCCATCACTTGTGTATTCTCCCCCATTCCTAGATTTTGAAGCCAGTCTTTAACCTTTCATTTGACATCCATCAAAACCAGAAACCCATCAAAACTAAACACCTCCTCTACCAACGTACAGCAGCATAACACAGTTTCCGATTCATATACAAAGCACAGCCTCTCTCACTCTCACCTGTTCCTGCTTCCCCTGAAGTTCCTCAAAGAATGCTCGTTTCTTCAACGCAAAGTGTAAAAATAAAAATTGCGCACCCGTCTTCACCAGTTGCCACTTAAACTGCAAACACAATCGTAACAAAAATTAGTAAGAAAAGACCATCTGAAGCAAGGGAAGGAATCAAACCCAGAATAACCAATCGCAGGACAGCTTCAAATTAAGCTACGAAACCCCCCACACATCGCTGAATGCAACAAATCCTCACACACCACAACCTCGCCATTCATCGGAATCACACGACAGCTTCCACATTCAGCACATACAAACACGCAATTCACCGCAATTTCGCTGAATTCGACCACAAAAGCAAAAAAAAAAAAAAAACCCCCATTTAGAGAAAGGAAAGCGAAAGATCGTTTGATCGTGCCTGTTTGTATTGAATCTCGAGGGTGTAAGACAGGAGGACGGGGCTAATATCTCCGGCATCAGGCCGGGAGACCTGAACGATGATGGCCCACGGCAACTCTTCGAAAATCCGCGACTGCTCGGGGACGGGACCTTGGAACGAGAAGAACGAGGACGACAACGCCGGCGCAGCCTGCGCCAGCGGCGGATGGTGCGGGGACTCCGACTGCATTTGGACGTATCGCGGCCCGCCTCCGTCCATGAACTGCTGAGACGACGCCATTTTATCCGTTCCACCTTCTATCTTCGCTTGTAAGCTAACGAGGAAGTCAGAATTGGGAATGGATTACAAGACTATCAATCCGATTAGATAGGGGGCCGCGTTTCCTTGGATCTAAAGCTTCCTCTCCGCCGATTGAATGGCAGATTGCAGATGGCGACGGAGACAGGAACGAGGATTGGAATTTGGAAGGGAAGAAGGAATGAAGTGGAACAATTGGAAATGCGCTGTACGTTTCGAGTTTGCGCTATATTTCGGATATTTTTTTCCTCTCCTTTTTCGCATTTATTATTTTATTATTATTTTTTGGGCGGAAAAGGTTTCCAAACACTGGAAGAAGAAGAGAAGAGAAAAGAACAATAGAAAATTGTCAAACTAGCTTTCAATTGTCGTCACGTGGACTGCGGAACTTTCAAAGAGTAAACTTGGCCAGCTGGCCCGCCCGGCCACTCTTCTGCGTGTCGACAGCACAAACGGTCACTGAACTTTAGTCAATTAACAAATTTGTCATTGGAACTTTGATTCTTAACAAACTTGTCATTTAAACAAACTTGAAAGAACTACATTAACAATCACTTCGAGGTTATCTTGTACACGTTAATCATATTCTCTTTTACTTTCGACAAGTTTTTCAACGCATTGTCAATAATAATGTGTCAACTTAACCAACTTTATAATAAAAACGGATTATATAGATACAGATAGAGGTGGCAATTGGATCGGATTCGTGGATTGGATTGGTGGATCCATGAATCAAATGGATTGGTGGATTCATGGATTGTATCAAATGGATTGGTGGATTGATCCATGAATCCAAATGACATCCAAGGCTTGGACCAAAATGTAAAATTTGAAAAGTTTTGGTACTAAAATGTCATAATGAAAAATTTTAAGTACCAAAATGTAATTTTCCAATGACATTTTTTCATATAAAAATATAAATTTTAGGTACCAAAATGTTAAGTATACAAAATATAGGTACCAAATTGTAATTTGGCATTTGGATTCATGGATTGATCCATGAATCCACCAATCGGATTTGGATTAAATGGATTGGATTTAAATTGATTGGACTAGGTGGATAATTTGGTGGATGGATTGAATTGGATTCATGGATTTGGATCCTAATTGCCACCTCTAGATACAGAGACCTTTGTTAAAGTACATGAACAACTCATTCTAACGAATACGTGGTCTAAACTAAAGCAGGTTAATCAAATAAAATCCAACCAATATTATCAAAACCCACATCGATCCCTCCCCTACACGGCACTAATCAGAGGCGAATCTTACCTGCCTTATCATGTATATTGGTGTATGGACAGACAAAGTTTAACAATTTGGACGGAAAAAACTAGTCAGTTACGAATAAAGTATTTTTTGATATAGTTATTTCGGATTTTACATACTGGATTTCACACGAATCTAAATTCACGAAAATGTCAGCAACCCCAAAGTTTAGTGACTGTTTATGCAATAGTTCTTCCCCAATGTTCATCATTTAATCAACCTTTCTTTTTACCCCTTTTTCCCTTCAATTTTCCCTGTAAGGGTGAATTAGTAAACGTACAAGGTAACGTATTCTTCATTGCATACAAAATAAATGAATGAATTAAGACTTGTAGGTTATCTTTGCTCTAAGTAACCTGCAAGGAAGAAGGAACGTTTAGGTTGGTTTAAGTTGCCTGATGTTTTGACTCTATACACCCAGACAAGTGGGTTAGTGTGCACTTTCTGCAGTGCTGGTTGAAAGTACACGCTTACCACATGTCTTAATCAGCTGACTAATTACGTTGACAAGATTCGCACTTACTTTCTTCCTCAAAGACCAATCCTATGACCTGGGGAATACATACTGACGATTCAATTCGTAGTTGAAATGAACTCAAATGTATTTATACGTAACAGATTGACGAGGTTAATAGTAAAGATTAAAGAAGAAGTCAATGTCTGCCACCTAGAGCAAGAATGAAGATGATCTTCCACTAAAATACGAATATAGAAATGTACGATGGACCGAGAGTTAAAGTCGCTTCTGAGCAGTAATGCAAAGGTTTTGCTCCATCATTGCGAACCAATACAGCAGAATACAAACCATACACCGTGTTGTGTTGATTGCAGTACCATAAAGCAAGCACTAATGGCTAGATTCATTACACTTAATTACTCATCTACTAGTTATCGCAATGAAAAATGCAAGCAACTGACCAATTAAAGCTCTATTTGATTACGACCTAAGCCCTCTTACATCAAATCTAAACAACCATTATCTAGGGCTGGGAAAATAGATCAGACCGTTAGAAAAACCGTGGTCCAAACCGTACCGCACAGTTTGGTCCGGACCGTAGACCGTTAAGTATGGTCTGATCTGGTCCATGGTCTGTACTATTTTATATTTTGATCTCTTGGTCTGGTCTGGTCTAGACCGCGGTTTACCGGATCAAACCGTGGACTCAACTGACTTGTAAATACGTGTTAACAGCCCATTCGACCACTCTCCCAACTCCCACAACGACACTCAAGTCTCAACCTTAGTTTTGTGAATCTCGTGCCTCCTTAATTCACAACCACATTTAACTAGAGAGTAGAGATAATCGTGTCTCAATATGACATTATGTTAATGTTTATGACGTTATGGTGCAAGTTGGGATGCTTTTACTTTGTATCTTTGGTATGTATTAAGATTTAGAGTATCAAAATTATTCATGCATGTTAGGATTAATGATTTAAGGCAAATAACAATTATTTTCCTGGTTATTGGTTCAATTTTTTGTGTGGTTGACTAAACAAATTATTCATTTTTCGTTGAGTGTGGTCTATCTGGACCAGACCAGACTGAACCAGACCGCACAAGCGTGATCTAGACCGAACCGTATAGTCTATGGTCTGGTCTGTGGTCTATACTTTAGCCTCTCGGTCTGGACCATAGACCGTATAGATGGTCTGATCTGGACCAGACCGCACCGTTTTCCAGCCTATCCGATTCTCTAGTCTGATTGATCCCAACAAAAACCTTGTTGGCAACGGAATCGCCACAAGCAATCTCCATTCACACATTCAACGATGCGTAGGCTATTTGTAATCCAGCGCAAGCAAACCACCGACACTAACACACATTGAAGATCAAACACAGAGGACAAGATGATACCAAAACTTCATATTGTATTGGAGTTGGAAGGAAGATCATTCACCACAAAAGAATAAACACGGGATGAAACGTCAGCTAACTAATGGCCTCTCTGATAGAAAAGTTCACTTCTTGGATTTCTTGACTACTCCCCTGCAAAAGTTGAAGCACCCAGGTAAAGGAACCCGTCAACAACTTGGCAAAACGAAAAAATCAGAAAATTCTATGTGTAGCAATCTTACTCTGTAGGCAGAGGTGCAGGCGTGGGTTCTGCCTTCATCCCAGGTCCCTGAAATTCCACAAACGAATCGCAGTTGTGATCGGTCATTCGCACAAGTTACGAATGCAGAAGCCAGGCATTGCAAAAAAATGTCATCTTCTTACTTGTGCAAAGCGCTCTTCCCTTCTGGCAAGCTTCCTCTCCCTGCTGGCCTTGTTCTTAGCACGCTTAGCCTCGAACTGATCAGACAGTGTCTTCTCTCTAGCCTTCTCGGCCTTCGACTTGTGGATGCTCTCCATCAGCACACGCTTGTTCTTGAACACATTACCCTTCACCTTCATGTACATGTCGTGGTACATGTGCTTGTCAATCTTCTTGGCCTCGCGGTACTTCCTCAGAAGTCGTCTCAGGACACGCATCCTCCTCATCCACAGGATATTGGTTGGCAGCCTCGCCTCGCGGGTACCCTTTCTCTTACCTAAAGAACACCTTCGAAATTCAGTTGGAACAAAGCACCAAAGCAAAAAGAGCCGGACGAATCACAGCGAATAAACACCGTACCATATCCAGAGTGGCGACCCTTTCTCTTGGCCTCCTTCATCCTCCTCGCACGAGACCTCGAGTGGATCTTCGTTGGCTTCCTGATGACGTAACCATCTTTAACCAGCTTCCGGATGTTCTGCCCTGCAAAAAATTTTAAAAATCCCTAATTCAATTCAAACCTTAATTCGTAACACCCAACCGGAAACGAACTGCAAAGCAGAGACTTCCCTCCGGTAACTACTCGCGAACGTTATAAACTAATACGAACACACCCTCGATTTAATCTACGCAGCCAACTCCAGCTCGCGGGAGATGAAACGACTAGGAAGGAAAAAACCAGTTCGAGGGAAGGGAAGAAACTTACTGGAGTTGGCCATGGAGATTTCATTGACTTCATTAGGATCGAGCCAGACCTTCTTCTTGCCGCAATCGAGCACGCTGGCGGCGAGCCGCTTCTGGAGCTTCAACGACACCATCGCTCCCACCGACTGACGACGGAACGCAGCAAACGGAAGGGTTTTCAGGGAGATGGAGGCTGAATGAAAGGTTTACATCGTCCAGACTTGCGGTAGGGTTATCGTCTTTCCGCATTGGACTGGGCCTCCATTGATGACCAAACTATGGGCCTGAAAATATTTGCCCAGTTAGAAGCCCATGATACCAGTCACACTAGTTCGGCTTGTAAGGTTCGCAAGCCCATTTTACATTGCGGCTCGACTCGCACAGTCGCGTTAAATTTTTTAACGATTGTGATAAAAGAGGCGGAACATTTAAAATTTTATTGTTTTATTATATTTTAATTTTTGGATCACTCATTTAACAATCATCTACTAGAGTTGATTGTCAGATCAGATAAATTTAACTGAGTTGGATGGTTAGTGACCAAACTCGAACTATTGAGCTCATCTGAGTGACTATGAATGGAATAAAAAAAATATTATTAGTAGCAAATGTGAAATAATTTAGTAAACCTAGTGATTAAACTTGCAATTTACCCTTCATAATTTGAAAGATAAATTATTTATAATATATTGTTTAAATATTAATTATTAGATGACATAATAAGGACAATTAAAACTTATAAATGAAATAATTTGCTACTCAACCTCGAGCATGAGCTGATCGATAAGCCAAACTCAATTAGAGCTCGTGAGCTCATAATGAGTCAATCTTGAGTTGACCTCAAGACAAATACGAGCTAATGGATCAATAAACAAGCCAACTCAACATCGGGTCATGATCTCGATTCATTTATTAACAAGTTGAACTCAACTTAAGATCAAAATTCTACTAGACTCCACTAATTTGCAATCGAGACGTCACCTTCCTAGGATACTATAGATGCCAATTTGATATTAGTCATCGGGGTAAATTGCAAGTTTGGTCACTTGGTTTAATAAAAAAAATTAATGTTTGGTCACTAAAAATATTTTATTCACATTCGCGGTCACTAAGATTAGTTTAATAGTTCAAGTTTGGCCACTGATTGTCCAACCCCGTTAAACTTTATCTAATGTGACAATCAACCTCATAGTAGATCGTTAAATGAGCGACGTTGCAGTTAAAATAAAATAAAAAGATTTATATCTTAAATTCTCACCGCATTTTATGTGTCGGCTTCCAGTTCAGAACTAGATGATGGTTATTGGTGATTTTGAGATAGGCATGTTATTACTTTATTACTCATCCTATCCACATTTATTTATCAACTTGGAATCATATATATCCTAGTTAATTCACTAGTGTGTCGTTTAAGTTGGTGAGCAGACTTACAAAGTTACAATAGCACTAGCTTTTTACCCGCCCATTTGTCGGTGAGTTTAATTTTATCATTTACATTAATCAATTTATCTATATGTTTAAAATATTTTGGATCTTCTAAATTTTTTACATTTGCATTCATTGGCGAGTATGCGGTGCGTCTATAAATTAAAAATTCTCAATACTTAGCACATTCACATATGATGCTTCGATTCGCTGATCAAAAATCATGTCACAAAGATATATCACGTCCCATATAGAATGTTATGTCAAGATTTGTCAATAACGATACTCAATTTTTTTTGTCTTATACAATATATGTCATTCAATGAATCTCGAGTTTGGACGAACTCTCAACCAATGATGTTGCTCAGATGACGAGGACTTAGTTAGAATTTTTTTTATAAAGGTACTTCAATATTACATAAATTTGGTCATCCCAATTGAAAATTTACTGTCTTGGTGTAAGATCATATTTTTCTATCAAGACACTCAATTTAATATCTTATACAATATGTACCAATTGTTAATTCCTGAAGTTTAATATAGACTCACCCTCAACTCATGGTCGTTGTTTAGATGTTGGTTTAGAATCTCGGTCCAAGATACTCACACACTGTCGAGGGTTCTAATCTTAACATGGTCTATTGTTGTATAATTTTTTAACTTATCAAATATGCATTTGCTAAAATTTATTTATCATTGGTGTTTGTTTTGAGATAAAAATTCCATTACTTATACTAATATCTTCATTTTGTTGGTGTAATGTCACATCTATTGTCAATATCTAAGCATGATATTATACTCTAAGCAAGGAAATGCTATCTGGACCACGAATTAACCGGATTTGTGGGCATGATACTATACCCTAACCCTTAATGAGTGAACCGCAAGTCTTAGTTATCTAAATCATAGAGCTTAACCCCTAAGATTGTGCATGTAATTTGTTGCATAGATTTAGCTACATTAATTTTTTGCATGTAATTTTTTGCTATTTAATACTTGTTTTCGTTGATAGATACAAACATTAAAAAAAGATAGTGTTTGATAACCAAAACATAAAATTATATAGTTGATTTTTCAAATTCAATTGATTATTAAATGTGTATTATCTAAACTTTCTTCATTATATTTTGTTTTTAAATTTTTTTATTACTTATCTATGTGTTTAATTTATTTTTTATCGAAATAAAACCTATATTAAGTTCTAATAAAAATTAAAATTAATTGATCAGATTTAATCAAATATATTTTTTGAAGCATTACAATATATGTCACTCTCGAAATATAAGTATACGGTTGCTACACATATATATTGAAAAATACAATTATTGAATAAAAAAATATCAAAAGAGGATAGAGATAGCTACATAAATGATCATTATAATAAAAAAAATATTTAAAAAAGATAGATCTAGCTACATTAATTGATCCTTAACTAATTTTTTTTGTTTGTAAAAAAACTGTCCACCATGGCATCTTGTAAATTCTCCAAATGCTTATGTGGCAACAAACTACTTTTGAATTACTATAATATTATGTATAGATAGATAGATAGATAGATAGATAGATAGATAGATTGGTTGTGGAGGTTGAGCCCTAAATCAATTTAGAAAAAAATAGTACAAAACAATAATCAAGTATGTCTTATAATTTTGAAAAGAGTATACAAGTTAAAAAAGGAAGTAAGTAAAAAAAGAAGTAAAGACAGTTATGAATGGCTTAGGATATGGTCAGTAACTAAATCTGGACCTTTAGATTTAAGTAAGCCTAGAATATTCAGATCTAAGAGTTGTCAATTAAAGACATTTTATTTTTTCTAATTTTCATAATCGGCTCTTATCTTTTTCGTTTTAACTTGGATTTCAATTTTTTTCACACATGGAACGAGTTTGTTGTGCTCTACAAAATGAGATCAATTTTCAATATATTTCGAGAAACTTTTTTTTACCAACAACATACCATATGGTAACTTCTTCGTTTTTAAGTCATTTTTTAAAACGTTTGCTCAGAAGGAACGAGTTTATCATGATCTATTGGATCTACAAATTTATGGGTGAAAAAAATACTGGACCAAAAATTATCATACTTTACCACTATGGTATGTGGATGGTAACTTGTGGTAAACAATGATGAAAGTCGTAAATGACAGTTAGTATACTCCTACTATCATGTATTCAACCTTCTTACCATATTGGTATGTTCATACCATCATGGTACGCTTTCTTACCATATGGTATTAAAATTGAGCATACCATATGGTAATGACTGGTAAAAAATTATTCAATTTTTTTCCTACTAAAAATATATCAAAGTGGATATAATTTTAAAGAGCACATTTAATCTGATTTATCTGTGCAAATAAATTTAAATTTCGACTTAAAACGAGAGCGAAATCGTCCGTTAAAGATTAAAAGGGAAAAGATAAAAAAAAACTTTATAGGAGAGAGGGGATGTTGATGTCATGCGGATGTGAACAGGTTACTGATGGTTACTCACCATAAGAGCTACTGACTTGATCCGCTCCCGTTAAGAATACTGTCATTTTGGTAACTCAAAAGGTGGATTACAGTCACGAAGATAGACAAAATAATCTAATTCAAAGATACACTCGTGAAACCAATGAATGCTTCAAAACATCTTAATCAAAAAGGTAAATACCACATTTGGTCACTGAGATTACTAAATCGTGTCATGTTGAGTCACTAGAAAAATTTAATATCAATTTAGGTCACTCGAATTACTGAAACAGGTCACATTTAGTCACTCTTCCGTTAGCATCCGTCCAACTCCAGTCACTCGAATTACTGAAACATGTCACATTTAGTCACTCTAATTACTGAAAGATGTCACATTTAGTCACTATCCTGTTAGTTTCCGTCCAACTCAATTAATGAAGTTGGACGGAGGCTAATATGAGAGTGACTAAATGTGACCTGTTTCAGTAATTCGAGTAACCAAAATTGATATTAAAATTTTCTAGTTACTAAACATGACACGATTTAATAATTTTAGTGACCAAATGTGGCATTTACCCTAATCAAAAGTGAGCATGACTCCCCTGTATTTGTTATTATTCGTCTACTAACTTGATGAACTAGCTAGCTAGAGACCAAATAGCAATTGTCGAGTCTATTTATGAACATATGGCAGAATCTCTATTTGCATTTATCTCGTTGTTTTAGTATTGTCTAAGTGAGATTTTCTTTATAATAAGTTTCTTGTGTATGAATTTTTCTTATTGCTAGCTCAATAAGCTAGTATGTTACTTTGTTTCATGAATTATTGTACATTTAGAGAGAGATCAATAAATGACATAAGGGTGACAACAAATGACTTGATGGAATTAGTTGATACCAATCTTTATGAACCGACAGCCAAATATGTAACAAAACAAACCAAAAATAAATAAATCAACAAGCAGATCCTAACCAGCTAATTATCGTCTCCATTCGTGAAAATCCATTCCACTCCCAATTTCCACATCTAGGATTGTAAATATGGAATAAAATAGCTGAAATGATAAGTGTCGTCCTAAATTTGCTGATCGCCTGTCCTAAAATTAAAACATAAATTACTAGATTATCCTTAATAAAATAACAAAACAGCACACCATAATGATTCCCCACCTTTATAGTTTATACAGTAAGATTCCCCACCTTTGAATTTACCTTTGAGTAACCAATATGCTCTCTTTTTTCTTGGTAACAAAATGAGGAATGGAAAGAAACCAATTTAATAGTAAACAAGTTGGTGAAAACGGGACAAGGAGAGGTTTCCAGAAGA